GATAGTTTTAATTTTCGCTTTAAAGTATCAATTAAAAGGCTCAAATAACAACAATATTGTATCACAATACAGTTTTTTTTTTTTTTTTATTTATTTATTTATTTATTATTATTGCAGTTCTGGTCAATAACGATATACAAATTTTTTGGTAGTGTACTCCTAATAATTCTAATAAATTATTAACGTTAAGGACTGTTACAATCGCCTGATTCTTATCAGAATAATTTAGTTCAGAAGCCTAAGTTTTCTTACTGGTCAGTAGTTTAGAATACTTAGCTTTTGCTAAATAAGGTTAATTTAAATTTTAGTAAATTATTTTAGTATAGGATTGTTTTTTTAGATCAATAACGATGGTCCAAATAGGTCAATATCAATGTTTTTGCCAACAAATAAGTTTAAAAAAAAAAAAACTTTACGTACATACGTAATACTACGTATGTATGCACAGTCAACCTTTTCTATAATGAACTAAAGATTCTAAAAGTTCGTTATATATCCAGAGTCGACGACTGTATATAAGAATTAAAATGACAGTTATAATTATATCAACGACAATCCCATGTCTGATTAGCGAATGACAAAAAAAACGTGGAATAATATATTTACCTAACCAAGTCTGGATTAGGAAAAAAAAATCGGTGGATCACGTCCGATCCTTCAACTAATTTGATTCGTGTAACTAATTTTTTGTGTAGCGGGAACTGATTCTAGTTACCTAAAGCTGGTTCGGACCTAAACAACTTCTTGTTCCGCTCATTACATAACTTTTTACTTGACTATACGGAACTCGCATGTTCGCATACAATCTCGCCCGCTTATAGGAAATAACGAATTTTAAAATAGTTGCGAAACAAACATCATACCAATGGAACAAAGCAATACCAATACTAGAAGAGGTAATTTGTCAAAGACGATAAAGTTGTAAAGCTGCAATAAAATATTCGGAGTAACATGGAATATCTGTCTAATGGTACTCATTAGTGATTAATATTGATTAATATAAAAATTAATTTTTTTTCATAAGGTCCAAGAAATGACAAACAAGGTGATGAGTTTGAAAAGAATGGACAATTTTCAGCCGAAGCACTCGACATAGCATCAAGATTCCAAAAATTACAAAATTCTGTTATTTCATACAAAAAGAAAAATGAAATTCTTGAGAAAGAAAAAGGTGAATTAATCAACAAACTTTATGACTTAAACCTAAAAAATGATCAGTTGCAAACGACTTGTAATGAATTGAACGCACGTTTCGATTCCGAAAAAAGGAGATGGCAACAAAGGGCTAATGAATCAGATCTTGAGGTTCAAGCGTTAAAGAAACGGCTTATAGAATTAAAAGATGAAGCATCAAGATATCAATCTGCACTGGGTGAAGCAACCAATGTTCGATTTGGTGATGATGATAGTAATAATCAGGTGCAACTTACAAAATCAATTGTTGAAATGCAAAATCTACTAATGGATTTCACTACGGTTAAAGGAAGAGATATTATGATTAATGAAAAAGCTGCTTTTGACCTCTTGACCGTGTATAACTGCAAATCAAAAGGAAAACCGGTGTTAAGTGCTGCTTTACAACGGAAAACTTTTGAAGCATTGATTTATTATACAAATAAATATCTTATGCGACCATATCGACAAAAAACTGTACAGCCATTATCACCACAGCAACAAACCTTTCAACAACCAAATCAAAATCCTTATCCAGGTCAACAATTTCAACCATATCCACCATATCAACATCACCCACAAGTTCAACATAATCAAAGAAATTCATTACCTCCTCCTCCTACTCTTGAAGATGACCAGATTGAATCAGAAATCACAATCCAAATGACGAAGTTATGTAGTTTAATTAATCAACTTGCTGAAACTAGAAAAGGTTCTGATGAAATCACACGTGTAGCACCTGTAAAAGTCCGACAACAAATTTATGCAGTATTAGGTTCACGAGGGTTTTGCAAAGATAATCATTCAGTCATTGAAAATTTAGCAAATAAAATTTTAGACACTACAGGAAGATACCGGAAAATTAGCGACGAAAAACAAATAGAATTTTATAATAAGGCTTTAGAAGTAGTTAAAAAGTTTGTACATTTATATTTTAAGTTAAATGCTCAAGAACCTGTACCGAACTATCAATTTTATTTTGAAGCTGGTTCACCTCTACAAAATAGTCTCATGGATGGGTCATGGGATGATGAAAACATGGATAATTTAGAAGTTGAGATTTGTTCATTTCCTTTGATCTCTTTTAAAGGAAAAGATAATACTAAAAAAATACTTTCCAAGGCAATTGTTCTCCCAAGAGAAAGAGAATAAATTAGTGTGGTATTTTGTATATTTCATATATCTTTGGGTAATACTATATTATTATGTAATTTTAGGTTAGTATTGATGATGATAATAAATAAATCTTTTTAATTTCATGATATATCTTTGGTACATATGTGCAAATTTTCCGAAATTGTGATAATGATCACATACTGCATACAACTATACTTAATACATTCCTGCAATATGGTGTTGCAAGATTGCAGGGATGATCCAAAAACGATATATTAAATCTCCAAATCTATTTTATTATTTCAAAAAAAATGTTTACGAAGGTGACTTTAATTTTACTTCAGACATATCTATTTCACTTAATGACTATCCCCCCAAGCTCAATTCGATCAACACCTTTACAAACTTATAAAGTTGAAGGAATTACTGGATTAATATTAATCTACTTCGGTCAACATTTGGCTCGACTTATAAATTTCGGTTTATCTATGTTTTATATTTATGTAATGTACCAACAAGAAGTTGGTAATTTACCGTATTTACAAAATCATGATTGCAAATTATCTGAATGGGATTTTGGAGATTTAATCACTTGTATAGCTACGATCTTTGGTGCAATGTTAAGATTTTGGTGTTATAAAGCCTTGAAAAAGTTTTTCACTTTTAATATTGAAATAAAAACAAATCATAAATTGATTACTAACGGACCTTACCAGTTCTTGATTCACCCATCGGTAAAAAAAAAACTTTTGTTTTTTTTATTACTTCTTATATATTGCATTGTATAACTTTTTTAAGCCAATTTCTTTCGTTACATTATATTTTAAACAATTATTTAAATTTATCATTAACGTTAACCCTTTTTTCAAACTTAATAGTATACGGGATCTTTTTTAACCTTACCATCAAAAATACATATGGTTAATCAACTTCAACCGTATGTTCAATCATATTTTCCATATATTGTTAGTTATTGTTTATATAATACATGGATACGTATTAGTATCTATGGTTTTTCATTTTTGTTATTATGGAATAGAGTTAGAACCGAAGAACAGTTGTTAAAAAATTATTTTAAAAAAGAATGGGATGATCATGTTGCTAAAAGAAAAAGATTTATTCCATGGATTTTTTAAACAAATTATGTGTATATCCTTCGTCTGATAATTTTCAGTCTCATTTTATATAACGCAGTATAAACGTAAAAAAGTACTATACTGAATTAAATTATTTCTTTTTTTAACAAATTTTAGTTATATTATTTTATTTTACTTAAATACTATAAAATATTAATTAACACTACATATATATTTTTAAACCTTATCATCCTCTTTTTTTGTTCCATCACCATCCTTCTTTCTCCAATTCCTACCACTTAAAACTTTTTTAATATTTACTGCATTAAACTTAGTCTCAGCCGCTGCTAATGGTACATTATTAAGAAATGAACTTGGCAATGGTGTTATGAATTGTGATAACTGTGCTGATGAGATTGATGTTGCTGATGACGTAAGTGATGACATGATGTTCGAGTTTCCTAATAATGTCGGATGTTCAAGTATTTTTTGTTGAAATATTTCTATTAACGGTTGTTGTTCATTTTTCTTTATACCCTTTATATTATTATTTATGTTAACAAGTTAGAGTGTTACAACAAACATCACTAGTTTATGAAGAAATAAGATTACCTTGATATCTAATATTTTTTGAAAATTACTTATATTTTTATCTGCTATCAATAAAATATAATTCTCAACTAATCCTTCAGGTGGATCATGCGGTGTAAGAACTGTCTTCAAGATAGTTTCTACTTTGCTAATTCCTTTATTCACAATTTTTATAAACCTACAAATAACAGAATAATTGACTTTCTAATCTATATACTA